TTAGGAGTTATTGTACGAGTATAAATGTATCAATTTCTATACTAAATCATGTACTCGGGGTTGGTTTTACGCCGCACATGCTTGTTTTTGGTTATTAATATTAACTGTACTAATATACAATTTAAACACACTCGTTTAGCATTTTTAGTTATATTATATATAAATATATAATAAGTTGCCTAAATAACTAAGTGTTTTAGCTCTTTATGGAAGAAACAAGCTTGTCTGTACTACTTTATAATTTAAAAAATATGTATATCTGAGTTGACGAAAACAATTAAAACATAATTTTTTGATTTTTCTCCTTATTAGACGGCAAAGCACTAGTTAAAAATAATTTTCAAATAAGTTTAACTTATATATATTGAGGTTTAAAACCGTCACAGTGTTCTATTTATATGTGTAAACTACGGCCAGTATTTATTTATTCATTTTTAATATAACCAACCCTAATCTGTCTTTGGTGTAATTTGTAGCTGCGTTCAGCGGCTCATTGAACGAAGGTGCGAAGGAGATTTGGCCAAATTGGAAGGCCTAACGTTATCAGTAATCGGCTTATGGCAGTCTGCACAAAATTGGGCTCTCCCTATGGACTTGTATGACTTGAGATTGTGAATTGAATATATTGGTAATTAGCTTTTTCAAACAGCATTTTCTAAGTACACTTTATACTGTTACAAAAAATCCCTAGGTAACAATTGGAAACCCTCTTTTATAAATTTAGCTTATCAGAAATGTATCACCATAGACGTCATTAATCATTACAACATTTTAGGTACATGATGGCAAGTAAGAACATGCGCTATAGATCTATTTTGACTTTGCGTATTCAGAAATCCACAGACTGAAGCCAAAACACGATGAATTTTACGGTTCTTTCATCGGTGGTTCGTAACCCAGACGGAATTCCGATATTCCTACCACCAAATAATAATTGACTAAACTTCTAAGCTACTCTTTATATGTTTGCATACGCTTATCGGTGAAGTGTAAAGAGTAGGGCAGGTGTTTCAGAATAGAAGAAAGAAAGAAAGAAAGAAAGAAAGAAAGAAAATTTTATTTACTACTAAGGCACACAAAAGCACATGTTACACTTATTACTAAAACATAAAAAAACAAAACAGTTTTATCTAAACAGTATAACTTTATATAACAAGATAGGATAATGTTGTGTGCTGCTAGTAGAATAGGATCTTACTCAGTTTATATCAGGCCCTTTGTTGACCTGAAACTGATTTTCAGTAAGTTCACCATCAAAAACACTAGGCATAATTATTGTATGTCATACCATAATTTATAGAGCCAATAAAGTGATCGAAAAAACAACAAAGCCTTGCTTTACCTCGATATAGGAAACAGGTAGGTATAAAGTGGATTGGATTGCTATGACAGTCAGAGAAGGTAAACCTTTGGTAATTGTTGTAGTCATTTTTTATAATGAGAAATCTATTAAAGTAATATGACTAGGTAAAAAGACCGCTTGACTTTTAAATCTTAAGGGTATATAGTAACAAATTATGCTTAAACAAAGGACTTTAACGGCTCTAAAAGCGAAAATATATTAGTTAATACATTTTCGTGTTTTGGATGCTTTGCAACTCGCGTGGTAACAGAATTTTACAGTTAAACGTGTTTTATTTAAATATTTACAACTAACTACTCAAAGCAAATTATTAATAAAACTTATGCTGCTGTATTTAAGCTGATTTATACTATTCTATTACGCGAATAAAAGTTTGTGAACACCTGTCCTTCTATCGTGTTGAGAGTGGATTTTTTCCACCATTTGTGTTTTGATTCTGTGCAGTGCTACTCAGTTCACAACACTTCACGTTGAATATTGTTTTGCAATCTCCTAGTGTTCCCCTATTTCAGTATTCTCTCTAGTATTCTTAGCTTATAGAAGAAGGAAAAGTTACAAAAAAATATTTATTTTAAGGATTCAAATGAGATGTTAAATAGAATTAAATACGTATTTAAGTAAAACACTTTAACAGCTTAAAACGCTATATATATTAGTTAAAACGCGATATAACACGAACACGGTGTTCGTGTAATATCGCGTTTTAAACCGTTAAATTATTTTAGATGTAGACTAACCTATAAAATAGGTATTATGGACGCACTAGTCATATGGGAAATAGCAGAGTTGTACTCATCAATTCTGTTCTACTTGCGAACTGTGAGCGATTCAAAACTGCCTGCGAACTATTCCATCGCCTTCAAACCGATAAGCAAACAAAATTTCAAATGCACCCATTTCATTATGCTGTTAATGACAGGGAGGGAATAAGATAATAATAGAAAACAGCAAACGATTTGGAATATATCCCAACATGATTGATCAGATTTCTGTGCCATGCCTGATCGAAATAATCTACAGTTTTTTTATTGACGCGACAGGTCTTGTTGACTCAAGACCTGTCGCGCTCAACACAACGCTAAGTATCACTAATGGCTGCTATACCTAGTAGCCAACTGAGAAGTAAAACCAATTAAAAAAATACATTTTTTTCTAAGTAATTTTGTCGATCTCATTGGTCTAATGGAAGCAATGTATGGTAAAAAATTTATAAGTAGGTTCCATTTTCACCAGGCACAACATGTTTATAATCATTTTTTGTTTCTGAAACATGTTGGACTTTAAATGGGTGGTAGAAATTAAAAAAAAAAAAGTGAAGTTTAATGGCGTTTACGTTCCAGTTTATGATTTCCGAATATCCAAAACCAATGTAGGTCGACAGAGTATCTTGCTGAAATGTAATGTACACACAAAAAAAATACTAAACAAATACTACAGATAAATGTATTTGTCTGTCCTTCTCTATCATAAAAACAAGATACAGGTAGAAGAGGGATTGTGTACAATAGGGCCCTTAGAACCTTTAGTCTAGTACGACCCTGACAAAGTATGTCAGGCGACCGCTTTCGCGCGGCTGAACGACTTAACGCCAATCACGGCTTTGCGACACCCAATACAGGCTGGTGGATTAATTGAATAAATTTGCATTTCATCCCGCTAACATTTCCATTTGTTCCGAATTATACACGCGCTCATAGGGCGTGTGTAATTATCAGTTAATTAAACGACAGTTTAAATGGATACCAGATCCATTTGTTGCTAAGTGTAAAGAAAAAAATGAAATCTAGTTTACTGTCGTGGTGCATGGGGTGATCACATTTCTATAACCAATTGATAGATCCGTTTTATTTACAATGATCTGCTTATTCATTCCGAGATTCGAAATCAGGGCCTCTCGTGCTTAACGCAATGTTAAGCTACACGTTTAACCACTTAGCTGTAGAAGCGGAATTTCGTTCCTTACGCTAAATGCACTTCAAACTAGTTAAAAAAGTGATGGAGGTTTTATACAAAAAAATATTTATCAATTTTTGTATCAAGCCCCATCAGTTGAAATATTTAGGTATCTTTCACGTTAAAAAATATTTCGTTTATATTCTTATTACGCTATGTTTCCGCGTTTTTATTATATTTCATTTCGCAATAAATGCTTAAAATTGTACGTGACTTCGGACGAAAATATTAAACTTGCTTCAAGCGAAATTCCTAACTCAATTTAGTCCTGCACATTTGATAGTACTATTTTATTTTCCTTATTTCATATAGTCTGCAATATGCACTATAGGTAAATATTATAAAGAACCGTTGATTTACCAACAATTATTTTATAATTGTCTGCAGTTTAAGCGAAAAGTACACATTTAAAAACATCGCATCGCGAATTACTTTAATCTGAAACGTTGTCTCATTTTTAAAAATAAATTTAAGAAGCGGGGTCAACTGTTTTATTTAAATGATGAGTTTTTAGTCAACAAAAATATGAAATGATCACTTTGACAGTAGACGTGCGAAAGCATATAAATATTAGATTTAATTCGAAAACAATCCTTATTTCTCTTCTTCTTAGTCGATAGAACAAGTATTTTGTGACTGGAAAATGATCCTTATTACAAACATAATCAAGATTTTAATTGCTAATCTTAACTTCCTTTTTATAGTGTCGTGTCTGCTTATATATCCTGTCAACAAATGAAATGTTATAGGAGATATATCTTAAATTAAGCAACGTGGCCCCGCGTGAGTCCATCCACAACGTTTTGCTCTAGTTAAGATAAATTAAGAAAGATAATTATAAAAAAGATATTTATTATTAAAAACCGTTAAATGTGTTTATTTAATGTGTACTACTCGCGTAAACAGACACTATGCAATAAGCACTTTTTCCTGGTTGCGAGTCCATAGACAGTGTATTTCATTTCGATATTATGTAAATTCCTCGTGTATTGTGCGCCTCCCGATTCCCGTCAATGGAAAGAGGGAGTTTTGGAAACAATTGCACTGATTCACAAGTTAAAACGGTTTTTGTGTTTATGCATTTGTTTAAATATTCTCTCTGATCTGAATTCGGTAGCAACTTTATTGAGGTAGAACTTTTATGCTATAGTGTATTGTTTGTTTATCCGTACAAAATTAGATATTAACAAAATTACCTGCTGTTCTGAACGCCTTTCAAAGAATATACGACAGAAATAAATTACAACACAGTAAATTTTTTCTTATAATGTCCCACGGCTGGGCAAAGGTCTTCTTCTTATACAGAAGAGAATTAATATCTTAGATCCACCGTACTATTTCAATGCGGGTGTGCCAAACCATTACAATAAAATTTACAAAAGTAAATATATTTTTTATTAATATCATACTTAAATCTATTTCATTTCAAGCAATCACATCTTTAAACTTCACAATACGTATTAAGTATACTCTAGACCTAATGTTAAACCTATACTAGGCTTGTCTAGAGTAGCTAGACAATATTTATGATACTTTATCTAAAACTTACGTCAGCATAACAATGTGATACGTGCAAAGATTGTAAACATTTATCTGATTTTATCAAAAATCTGAAAATGTCTCTCGCCTAGCTTTCTATTGATTCAATGCAAAATTATTTCATAGTTTTCCGACTATTAATAATTTACAACATAATTTCGGATATCTCCAAGTTTCTAACAATCGAGAGCAAGGCTATTAGGATAAAAGTGTAGACAATTAATGTAGTAGTACAATTCCAATTGTTCGTAACGATTTTTTCGTTTGTATTATTTTTAATTCTATCTCCGTTTATAAATCCAGTCATAAATGGAATATCTATTTTCTCACCAACATTTTCAAATGGGGATTTTAAAATGAAAGGTTCAACATCTCTAGAATCCAGATATCTCTCCATACACGGAGCGAATGCCAACGAATTTTCAGTTAATTCAAGTTCATGAACAACAGCCATCAGTACAGGTGCGCTAATACGAGTAAATATATGTGATAAAGCTTCTAAGTCTTCTACTGTGTGACCCAGAGCCTTAGCAATCACAATCGCATATTTTGAGTTATCACGCGTTACTGCCCAAGATTCCACGTCATTTTTACTCTGAAATATCGCTTTCTGAAATAGTCCTTTGGACATGTTTGATAGTGTTAAGAGATCCACCATCGCTGCACCGCTTCCATGGCCAAATACAGTCACGTTTTCTGGGTCACCTCCGAACGCAGCTATGTTTAGTTTTATCCATTTTAAAGCAGCTATTATATCTTTCAAACCAGCGTTTCCTGGAGCACTTGACGTTCCTAAGCACAAGAAACCGAGAAGAGATTCTCTGAAATTTGGCGTTACTACAATAACATCCTTTTCTACAAAGTGTTTGTAATATGACAGTTCTGGTTCGTGAGGATCAAATTCTTTGTCTTTTATCCACACCAAGACGTTTAGTCTCAAGGTACTGTTCAATTTAGGGGTGACGATGTTTAACGATAGACAATCCTCCACTCCTTTATAGCCATTTCTCATAGGCCGAAGACACGATATGTCCTTTCGGTTTGCTTTGAATGGACTATCGAATAGCGGTGCAGGTTTTGGTGCCTGTGGAGCAAGCAAAATTATACTATATTTACAATTTTTACTAATAAATATAAAAAGATATCCGTGCAACGATCGACAGCGCATCTGCTAAATTGACAACACAACAAACGAAAAAGAGACTTACTGATGATTAATAATTATTTATCCTTACCTTAAATCGATTGGTTCCTGACGTCGTGTCACCATAAGGAATGCCGTAGAACTCATAAAAAGTGTTATAGGATCCTATAACAGTTCCCTGAGCTATACTGACTCGAGGATCACGTAGATTTTGACATGACACAGCACAAAGGAGTATACACGCACCCAGATACCATATCATCTTATTCTTGGACTAAAACTGAATAATAGTGTTTACTCTGCGAATGATCGGAAATCTTATCTCTATTATCGTGAAAATTTTCTCAAAGATGAGATTATGTACTACTGGTATAAAATCATTTTGTTAGAAAGTTGGAAATAACTTTGGCTTTGTTAATAATAATATAATTTACGTTCGCACAATTGTACATTATATTATATTTTATTAAATCTTCATCACAGAAATAATAGAGAAATAATAAAAAAATGATTGTATAAATGAAAAATAATTTAAAAGGTGTTCGTTATTTAACATTCATGAATACTTAAAATTAAAAAAAAAATGACTGATAAATACGAATGTAAACGTTTTTAAATTTTATTATTATAATTAAAAAACTGAAAATGTTTTTCAGATTGAAAAAAAAAATACTACTAAAACAATCCGTACAACTACAAAATGAGACAATTTACTTAAATGAAAAAGCTGTCTTACATATAAAAATATTAATGTTTCAAGAATTTATAGTAGGATAGTGTTTTATTTTTGTACATATATATAACATTACGCGTATTAAATCGTTTTGTTTATTCTTTAAAAATTCAGAAAGTAATCAGCCCAGGAAAAGTACAAGATTAGTGTTACTTTCCGTTCCACAGATTTTTAAATTTCGTTAAGTCAAAAGCTCAATAAAACCTTGGTTGACGCAAGGAAATCCAATAAACTCTACCTGAGTGGTCTCGCTATCCAGGAATGCGAGGAATGCCGTTCATTACTTCTCTCTGCTCTCAACTTGTTACCTATCCAATTTAAACGGATTTTAGCACTTCGAAATTCCGTAGAATTTATACTTGTTCGCTGCGAAGTTTCCTCACTTGCGAGAGGCGTATTGTATAGTAAGGTATCGTTTTTCCAAGTCAACTGCAAGCTCAAGATATCTACTGTAAAATATTTTCCTGACATATCTGTGCGTTGGAATCCTACAGATTCGTTAGATCTTAGAATATGTTATCATTACTTTATTGATATTACTTACTAAACAAATTCCCGTATCTATCGACTGAAAAATTTTATATATACTAGATTACTTATTTTTTGTATTTCTTATTTTTCAATAGCCATACCAAAATATTATTAAGAGATTATTTGTATGCTATGTAGCATACTAGTAGTTATATAGTTAATACATCTTACAATATTATATTTCACTTGACTGAGTGAGTCAGCTCGTTACAAGTAAAAGTGAAATCAGCGACACACAAAAATGTGTTTGCCCCTTGTCCAACATAGGGAAAACGGAATTTAACATGACGCACATAGTTGGTAGTGCAGCGTACGCGAGTGATCCTGGATTAGAGTCCCGCCCTTGTCAATATAGAATCGATTTTTCATTTATATAAAATAGGAATAACATGTGAAAAATAAAGTTTCAACTATACAAGTATAAGGCTAAAAAATAAAATAAAACTTAAAATTCGATTAACCTCCGTCCTATCAACTGGTCAGAGCACGGAACGCTGTAGATGCCGGGTCAAGTTCTGCCCTAATCGTATTTTTTTAAAAATTTACAATCGAAATTTAAATTCGGTATATATAGTGCCAGATATTAAAGTTTTCAAAATAAAACCCGTATAACTCGCGTAAACTACAGATAAAATACTGTCTATAGTTTACGCGAGTAGTACACATTTAAATAAAACACTTTAACGGTTTAAAACGCGATATATTAGTTAAACTTATTTGGAAATTATTTTTTACTTCGGCCCGACGTTTCGGATGCTTTGCAGAAACCGTCTCCCCGTGACCACAGCTGCTGCAAATCATCCGAAATGTCGGGCCGAAGTTAAAAATCATTTCCAAATAAGTTTAACTAATATAACGCGTTTTAAACTGTTAAAGTGTTTTATTTAAACTACAGATAATATAAAACTTAGCAATTAAAACATTTCAAAAGCAATAATAAACATAAACATCGGATTGATACTAATAAAATTTGTTTCACTATGAAAGTATCATTTCAATGTTAACGACGCACTCATCCGTCACCTTCATCCGACGGATTTTTAAAGTTTATTAAACACGGAATTGACTTCGAATATCCAATTAAAATTTCTCTTCACTAGCTCACATTTTTAGCACCGCCATAGCGAGATGAACTTTTCTAATTATAAATGTCATTAACCCCATCTGAAGCGCACTTTGGCTAATTTTCTCGTACTTTGAAATGATCCAATATCGTTTTAACAGGATGAAAGTGAAATCCGGTTCCCCCTGTGGGCCATGGCTCATGGGGCCAATAGATTTCTTTGTCCGTTTCACGTTTATTAACAGGCAGGTAGTTGATCGGACTTCTATGTCGTTTCCGTCCGTAACATTTTACAAACCACACATCTAAGAAATAGATTTCAAACGTTGAAATAGATATATACTAATATAATAACACTGAAGAGTTTGTTTGAACGCGCTAATCTCAGGAACTACTGGTTCGGATTGAAAAAATATTTTTGTGTGTATTTATCGAGGAAGGCTATAAAACAGACAAAGTCGCTGACACGGCGAGTATACTACACTAGGTAAAATGATTTTTTAGCTTTAAGCAGGCGTTTCTAATGTAAGTATATTTCTGATGATTGAATAATTCAAGTTTGATTTAATACATGATGATAATGAAATGTTAAGCTGTCAGTGTCAAGAAAATGATTGGATGAGCGCATAAAAAATGATATGCCATACTGTCTATAGTTTACGCGATTAGTACACATTTAAATAAAACACTAACGTTTTAAAACGCGATATATTAGTTAAACTTATTTGAAAATGATTTTTAACTTCGGCCCGACGTTTCGGATGCTTTGCAGCAGCCGTGGTCGCAGTCTCCCCGTGACCACGGCTGCTGCAAGCACTGAGATACCTATAAGAGGTCTTAGAGGAGAACAATTTTTTGTCAACGTTTTACATTAGAAAAAATAAAAGTATTACATTAGTGGAACCCAAATCCACAACCACAACGTATCGTAATTTTGCGGTACAATGCTCAAGAGTATTTGTTTTTAACTAAGATACATTTTTCATTATCCTTTAATTCCATAATAAAATGAAAAGAAACATCCAATCGATCGACAAAAATATATAGACATCTAAAAAAATCGCGACAGCGTGTGACTTATACAGGCGCGAGGTTTAATGAAGAGACGAATCATGGTATACACATCTTTAAGTCTAAAATATGGGTAGGAGGATAAAAATGTGCTGAGGGCTATAAACGTTTTAAATATTAAATAAAAAAAATTGTATATCGAATTAATTAAACATATCTAAAGTTACAGGTAAAATGAGACACCTAGATTGAGATTTTCAAATAAACAAAAAATATATTAACACAATATCTGCGCCCGCGACTTCGTTCGCGTGAAATAGTCCATTCCTGTGGTATTTATAATTAATACAGTTTAATAAATAAATAAAAATAAATACAAAGCCTTCAGAAATCTAAACAATAACTGATAGTGCCTAAAAAATTACGCGACTCATTCACAGTTAGATATTTTTGAAAACATTAATATTTTTCACATGTTATTGCACATGAAGGCACTATATAATTTAAAAATCGAAAATAAATTGAAAAAATTTTCGACTCGGGTAGGACTTGAACCGGCATCGTCAGCTTTCCGTGCTGTTGCTCCACCAGGACTCGGTAGCTCAATTGGTAGAGCAACAGGACGGAAAGCTGACGATGCCGGTTCAAGTCCTGCCCGAGTCGAAATTTATTTTCGATTTTTTTAAATTAGTTAGATATTTCCCAAAGTCTGTGAAATCCGGGCTTGTCCCGCGAGCTCATTAAGCGGTGTACACTATTTGGCGCAGGCACTTGGCACCGCGTCGCGTTATTTTGGCACTTAACGCAAAGTCATCGGCGATTTGGCACTCGTCTCCACCATTAGTGGAACGCTGATACCGACACCATTGTGAATTTTTATGTTAGATTGTAAGCGCAGTCAGCGCTGTCTGATTTTGTGTTTTGTTTCATCTGTCGGCCGGCATTTACACTGTAAACACGTTAGTTAATTTTCTATACTAATATTATAAAGCTGAAGAGTTTGTTTGATCGTGCTAATCTCAAGAAATACTGGTAATTTTTTTATTAGATGAAACAATAATCGAGGAAGGCTTTTGGCGTATAACATCAGGCTCCGAGTGCGAAAAAATGCGGGACAGTATATATTACACTATGTCTAGCTCAGAAGATTATCTCGCAAGAACCTTTTTATAGTAAACAAATTGAATTGAAATACCTTATATAACAAAATAACGTTTGTCAGGTCAGCTAGTTTTTAACTGACGTCCAAAAGAGGTACCACGGCGCTTTGTTTGTTCATCAGCTTTTGTAGTAAATTTTGTTAAGATTAAATTTATGTAGAATCTGCTTTTGACGAAATCTGTATAAAGTGCTTCGTTCATTCCTCGATTGAAATTCTCGACTTAGTTGATCTGGACTCCGACTCAATCCTAAATGAGTTAGAAAAGTGAAGTTTATGACTTAGTTTATAGTATAGAATAGAAACGCAAGTTTATATTTTTAACGTGTAATGAAATGCGGAGAAACACATGTAAAATAAGCTATTTTCCCGAAAGAAACTGTCACATTATTCACATATCAGTAACGTATGTACATATTTTAAAACGTTAGCAAATCAAGCCTAAAATATATTCACCCCAGCCGAATTGGCGCTAATAACTGCGAATAAGGCTAGCCACGCGTGGTACGCAGTTTGTGCGTTGATTAACGAAGAAAAGTCACTTCTAAATCTATTGCACTAAAGGATATTTTACCATAGCACGCTCGAGTTTATGTATTTAGATTATCTTTTTATGCGTTGTATGTAGCATGTATTGAAAGACGGTAGGTTCTTTTCAGGAGGCTCACCGCCAAGCCATGATAAATGATGTGTTTTCATAATCTACATAAAACAAGATTAATATTGCCAAAAATATGTTGAAATAAGGGTATGCGAATTCTTCAA